GTGCGGTCAACATACATAAAGTGCTTATACTGCTTGTTTAAATTATGTAAATACTTTATTGTGCTTAATCTGGGAACGGGTTCACTTCAATGTATGGGTAAAATCTTGCCCTAGGAGGTATGGACACAAATTAAAAGTTGTAAAACCCCTTTTTGTGGCTTTTCTACTTGCATAACCATACAAGCTCAGTTTAGCTTAATGTTCAGAGTAGGGATGAGCTCAGGTCCAAATCATCCTGTCCTGAACCTCAGAAGGAAGCTGGAGTGTGAGGCATGTATATTTTTTAAAAAACTTTTTTCTTGGGTTTTTTTCCCTTTTAACATGGAATGCATTATTTTAATGGGGTTACTAGCAGACCTTTCATTTTGGTCAACTTTATAGAACCGTACACTGTTTTCTACAGTACACTACTGTAGAAAAGGGTTTTATGGTGAATACATCCTATTTTTGCATAATGCCAGTAAACTTTCTTCTGGAAGTAAATTTGTTGCATGCTCCTATTCATTTGAAAGCCTATCCATAATCATTTATGTTTCTAGAAAGTGGAGGTTACCACTAAAGCTGTGGCTGATGTCCTGGTCAAGACAATTGAATACCTGCAGCCAAATCCAGGTGACTTTTTTTTTTTTTGTTTTTTTTTGTTTTTTGTTTTTAAAATTTTCATTTTCGGTGTACCTCTACCCTTTAGTGAATAGCCCTGAAATTCATGCCACTGCCACGATCTATTAGAAAAAGCTGGGAAGGTGAGCCTATTCACCATGTGACCATGGATTAAAGGTTCTATTTACTGGAACAACAAAGAGCTTTAGAAAAGAAACTTTCTGTAACGCATAGGAAAGTTGTTGTTTTTTTTAAATAGTCTGGTATGATTTATAGGAAGTGACTTTACATAAGCTTTAAGCACAGAGATATTGAGCAATACTACAGTATAAAACTGAGAAGAGATAGCATAAGTGTCATAGGATCTAAGTGTCTTTACTGCTGGCAAGTATGCTTCCTTAGGCTTAGTTCACACCAGAAACTGCATCACAACTGCGTGCGTCTGCGCAGTTGCACTGCGATCCGTTTTGATGCGTTACTGTTCTGCACTAGAAAATGCTAATTAGGCATGTAGGTCACTTCCTTTTCCTTTCAGAGCATTTCTTACGCTTGTTTTGTTTATTTGGGAGCTCAGTCATGCTTTCTTTATATGTTTGAGCAAAAGTGGACTCGCCATATTGCTGTTTCTGTACCCTGTTCATCGCACCAAAATCAGGGTTCAACTTTTCTGCAATCTCCCTCCACTTGGCCATCTTCTGGCGATTTGTTTTTATATTGGGGATGTTTGCTGTCGTACAGCAGGGGACAGTCCTGCACATATCGGATAAATTCATCAGCATCCACACCTTCCATCTCTGCTATTTCTCTCCAAACTCCAACCAGGAAGTCCTGGATGATGACATTCAAATCTGAGTCATTTTTTTTAATGCGTTTGCACCACGTTTTGATGCAGGTAAAATAGGACAACCAGTTGAACTGACTGCAATGGTGTGAATTAGGCACAAGAAAGCATTGTGATGTATTTTGATTGCAGCAGTCAAAATAAACGGACTGCATATAGTGTGAACCGGCCTGTAGTGTTGTGATTTATATGTCTTTCTGTTTTCTTTGCAGGGTTGTGTGGTAGAAAACAAAAAGCTGTTGCAAAAGCCATTAAAAGAGCACATATTATGGGTAAAATTGCCTGTGTTTGTTTTGTTTTTTATACTCCAAGCTAATCTAAGTATTGGATGTTAATGTCTCTTCTCTTACAGGTTTTATGCCCATCACATACAAGGACCCAGCATTTCTCAAAGACCCTAAGATTTGCAATATCTGAAACTCCAAGTTTGTGTTTTGTTAATAAAATGATTTGCCATAGGCTTCTGGCTCTTTATTGCAAGTTTATGCACTACTTTGCTGTAATGAAGAACTGATATTTAGGAAAGGACACTGACAAAAGATCTACCTCATTTTATTTCACCAAAAATAAATATCTCACTTATTTTCTTATACATCAGAGAACTAAAAAAATACATACAAGGGGAAAGTTTGACAAACCTCTCCTTTGTTAGGAGCAGTGTTCCAAATATCCTAATAAAACATTACCATATTGACCCTAGCTGAGCTCTATATCCTATATCTGGGAAGGTTCTCATTCATCCAGGTCATGGTATATCTGTAAGAAATAGGTCAAGGCAACTGGACTTGCTGTATTTTTCTTCACGTTTCACTGGACATCCAATCAGTTTTTTCAATTCAAAATGATTTGTACAAAAACTCTCTGGGACATATTTATTCTTGTACAAGTCATTCTGACTTAAGAAAGTTGGATGACCAGTGAAACGTCTTCAAGAAAAATACAGCAAGTCCAGTTGCCTTGACTTATTTTTTTTTACAGAATATCTTATACTGTACTTTTTTCTCTCTCTCATATTTTTTTGTTTGTTCCAGGGCTATCTTCTTTAGGCTGGATTAACATCTTTTGCATTTTGATAACACATGCCCCTGCATTAATGTGTGTGACAGCAATGCGTGTTGCCATTCATTCTGTATGGCACCCAACGCACATCTACAGTAAGAAAGAAAGGGGGAAAAAAAAGGATCGCAAATATAGTGAACTAATTTTTTTTTTTTTTGTTGCTCTGCATTGTCAAGAATAGCACAGTTGTGTTTTTTGTGCAATAAGGCATGTTGTGAGCCTATTCAAAATGAATGGACTACTTTAAACCTTAAATGCACATATTAACGTTTTACTGTATAGCGAATCACTGAAACACGCACATCACTTGGCAGGAAACGTGATATACACGTCCTTGCTTTGTGTGAGTGGTAAACAAGTTTAAAGAAGAATTCCAGGAAATGTTTTTGTTAACCCTCGCAGTGGGGCTACTCCCACACTCTAAGGGTTAACTGCTCTTTTTTCTAGGTTATAAAAAAAGTTGTACTCATCTGATGCGTGAAGCCGGCTTGTTCTTTGTTTTTAGACCAGTCCTTCAAGCCTCTCTCCCCCCTCCTCTGTAGCAGTCTAAGGTCCCATAACTCATCATGTCCATACACAGTGTATAGATGTGAGGACGCTGAGGAAGATTACAATGCTGCAGTGGAGGAGATGACGAGAGGGGGCGCTGTGACATCTGGCCAGCTAGAAGCTTTGGGTGAGTATAACTTGGTTATTTTAGCACCTAGACACAAATGAGTGCTTAACCCTTGTAGTACGGGGTTAGTCCCACTGCAAGGGTTAATATAAATTAAAAAAAAATTCTGGTGTTTTTCTTTAGGAATGACCAGCCTGTAGAGTACACCTTGAGAAACAAGTCAAAGGCAGCTCCCCTACATCCAACCTAATAGGTTCTCCCTAAGGACAGTAGAGGAAAATGTGTTAAAATAGACCATTAAAATGTGGGCGACTGTGAACCCAAAGCGTCTGGTTTGAAATGTTGTGAATCATCTTCTGTTTCTGTACCACTATTTAACATTACTCTGTTGTCATAGTGGTTGGCCTCGCGGGTAGAGGCTCTTGTCCTTGTCAATGGTAAGCTAGCTTTCTTTTTCTGTGGCAGTCTCTTTCGCTTGCCGGATTTCCTGAAACATACTTCTGGCAGGTCGCATTCTTCGATCATTAACGTCAGTTTATCCATCTCAGTGATGTTATGTTGAGTATTACAGTTGTCTGGTATTAGTGTCCCATTTAAAGTAAGGCGACATGACTGCAGGAAAGCAGAGTGAGGGAAGAAATGGTGCAAGGCCTGACACAGGAAAATATTTTCTTCTGGAGCTGCAGGCTTTACCTCATCTGAAAAATAAAATTATATTATCCAGAATTTAGTTTGGACGCAAAAGTTTGCTGCACTTTACCTTAAATGAACAATCAACCTACAAGGATAGGCTGATCCTGGCTTCCATAATGTCTGGATACTCCAACAGTTAGAACTTCCTCTAAATCCAAGAGCCGCACTCCAGAAATAAATCTGACATACATTGTGTAATGCCTGAGCATAAATAAGCTGTATACTGACACAACTTTACGCTGCATTTTGTTTACAACACATGTAAATGCTTTGCATTTCTTCAAATAGTAGGAGTGATTTAACTTCCTCCAAAAAAAAAAAGTTATGGTTTTTGGTGCAAATGAGCCCTAAAGCTTCCTACATGCTTTCTGAATCTAGTGTTCTTCACACTAGCATTTACAAGCTAAGAACAAATACTGAATCCTATGAAAGCAAACAATTTGGGACATTGCTGAAAAACACATTGAGAGTATTTCCAAACCTGCACATACTTTAAAAGTGCTTATTTTATACTTACACAAGTGAAGTGGTACTGGTAAATATTTGACAAATTAGACCAGGAGTCGGCAACTCCAGCTGTGCTTTAACTACAAATCCATCATGTCAAGTCTTGCAATGCCTCATGGGACTTGTAGTTCCACAATAGCTGGAGGGCCAGAGTTGCCCACTCTTGCATTCCCCCCCCCCCCCCCACCTCAATAATCCACTTATCTGAGTGCGGTCAACATACATAAAGTGCTTATACTGCTTGTTTAAATTATGTAAATACTTTATTGTGCTTAATCTGGGAACGGGTTCACTTCAATGTATGGGTAAAATCTTGCCCTAGGAGGTATGGACACAAATTAAAAGTTGTAAAACCCCTTTTTGTGGCTTTTCTACTTGCATAACCATACAAGCTCAGTTTAGCTTAATGTTCAGAGTAGGGATGAGCTCAGGTCCAAATCATCCTGTCCTGAACCTCAGAAGGAAGCTGGAGTGTGAGGCATGTATATTTTTTAAAAAACTTTTTTCTTGGGTTTTTTTCCCTTTTAACATGGAATGCATTATTTTAATGGGGTTACTAGCAGACCTTTCATTTTGGTCAACTTTATAGAACCGTACACTGTTTTCTACAGTACACTACTGTAGAAAAGGGTTTTATGGTGAATACATCCTATTTTTGCATAATGCCAGTAAACTTTCTTCTGGAAGTAAATTTGTTGCATGCTCCTATTCATTTGAAAGCCTATCCATAATCATTTATGTTTCTAGAAAGTGGAGGTTACCACTAAAGCTGTGGCTGATGTCCTGGTCAAGACAATTGAATACCTGCAGCCAAATCCAGGTGACTTTTTTTTTTTTTGTTTTTTTTTGTTTTTTGTTTTTAAAATTTTCAATTAGAATTTTGTTTGGACTGTTCATTTTACAATAAGGTATAGCATGTATGTTAAGCAATAGAACACAGAAAATAAAGGTGATATATTGAGACAAAGGTCAGCTGCCTACTCTTATCAGCATGTTCCCTGTTGGCACACATACGTTGTACATGCACCAGTGCCTGATTGGCTGTTATTGTTAGCCCTTCCTTTTCTAGTTGATTACTGCTATATAGGAAGATGATATCAAGGCAAACATTTCAACCTGACTTTCTTTAAAATGTATTCAAATGAACATCAGTGCTGTAATGCCTTATAGTGCCTGCATATACAGTATGTATGTTTTACGTCAGATTGATGCCTTTTGTTTTTGTGGAGGCTTGGATCTTAGGCAGTAGTACTTCTCTGAATGTCCCCCCCCCCCCACAAAACTTGTGCCAGGTCA